GGGGTTGGCATTACTGTACAAAAAATGTTTTTTGTTTTTTTACTTTAAAATGAGGTATTACCTAATCCAATTTGTGGTCACTTGCAAAAGGGAGAAAATATTGTAAAGTTTTAATCTTCTTTTTGTTAAGGGCTTTTTTATTTTGCAGTTTTCTTTGTATCAGTACTTTGGGCTTTGCAGAGGTGGAAGTAACGAATTACAAATACTCACTATAATACTTACTGTAATTAAGTAGATTTTTTGGGGGTACTTGTTCTTATATGAGTATTTCTTTCAAGTGTGTAATTTTACTCATACTTGAGTACAATTTAGACCATGTAATCTGCTTCTCTACTTCTAAAAATCAGAAATCGCTACTGAGTACGACCCCTATTTGATTTAATATTCAAACCGTTCATCTGCATCTTCAGTAAGGTTCTCAGATCGTGAACGCACTAATTACCTATGATGTAAGCAAAGGACACCTCCGTAGAGAAGAAAGTTGTTTATTGTCCAAAGATTTGGAGAAAACACCAGAATGGAGACAGAGGACAACACTGTCAACAGAGAAAATGACGAGATAAAGGCTGGACTAGTGCCCGTGGCCGTACCTGGAGGAATTTTCATGTACAGAGGGTGAAAAGGAGACAGCTTCAGTATCTAATCTCAAAAAACATATTGCGGTATACGAAGTTTTACAACTACCTGTATGATATTGCTTTTTTATTGTTTGTATGTGTGGGTTATTAGTTTGGATAAGTATGCAAAGATCTTAGATATTGTCATCGGTTTACCTGGTACTAAAATAAGACAGAGCTTCTGAGAACTGTGCTCTGAATATAACTATTATATACAGTAAATCAAACTGAAAGCCTTCTATTGACATCAAGTGGTTAAAAAGTAATTAATACTCTGAGTAGTTTTTGAGAAGAATACTTGGTACTTTTACTTAAGTAGTTTTATAACACCAGTACTTTTACTTGTAATTGAGTACAATTTAAGCAGTATAACAATACTTGTACTTGAGTACAAATTTTCAGTACTCTTTCCACCTCTGGGGCTTTGTGAATATTTTTTTTTACATAAAGCCCTCAGACTGTTCTTCCACAAGAGATTTAACAGGGTTGGGTCGGGGCTGTTGCAACACCGATTGTTTTCAGCCATTCTCAGTGAAACTACTGGTAGATTGGGATCATTATCCTGCTGGATGACTCGATGTTGGCTGAGATTTGGCTGTCAAACTGTTGTTGTCACATTTGACTTTAGAGCAGATTTACTCTGCTTGTGTGACAGTTAAACAAGCCCAAGTCATCAACACTCCACCACTGTGCTTGATACTTGGTATGAGGTGATTGGATTTATTTCATGTTTGGTTTCAACAAACATGATGATGTGCATTGTGATTAAAAATCTCCATGTTGGTATTCTACTCTGTTGGAATTGTTAGTAAAAATAAAGTCCTTTATCTGATTGCAAGCATGAGTGTGTGCATTAAGCATGAATTTTAGACACTGCTGGTTCCATCTCCTCACATTCGAAGATTTGTTGTATTTCTAAAAGAAAATTGGTAATGTGTTGTCACTGAACAGGAAAAAAAGTATTTTTGTTATTATAAGCTTTCATTATGTAATCCTATAATGCAAAAAATATTGTTTTAAATCCAAATATTGTCAACAACGGTTTAATATTTTGATTTTGTTTTAAGGTTTTTGATCAAATCAACATTAGGTGCGTGGCTCTATGTTTTGTGGTACTTCTCGTGTATTTTTCTTTGCTTTAAAAGCATCTTGTTGTTTTCCCAGAGAGGCACAGCTCTGTTGTTGGAGCACCTGGCTGGAAGTCTGGCGAGCACCATCTCTGTCACCACCCACCTGGACATCGCACCGCAACACCACCTTTTCATGAAGGGACGCAACGGCAGCAACATCAAGCACATCACCCAAAGGACCGGAGCACAGATCCATTTTCCTGACCCCAACAGCCCTCAGAAAAAATCCACGGTCTACATCCAGGGGACCATCGACTCGGTCTGCCTTGCACGGCAGTATCTCATGGTGTGTGTTTATTACCATCCAGTACGCTGACTGAAATGAATAATTTTAAACTAAACCTTGTTTTGTGGTTAAAAGATTGCGTTGGTAATATATTCCTTACATACGCAGATTCCTTTTACTGTGCGGTAGCTATAATGAATACATCGTCTCATTAACGTTGTCATGCTGTGTGTGAGTGATGTGTGGTTGTTTTAGATGAGGACGGGGAGGTTGAGATGTAAACCATGATTGTCTCAGGAGGTTTGATTAGCCTTGGATGGGGTTTGCTTGGCTTTGCTCACTCTGCTGAAAAAATAATAATAATCTGTGTCTGAGCCGTGAGCCTGGATGATTTGTAGTTGCCACATACCTGCATGCAAGATGGACACATAGTTACATTAGTTTGGCTCAAGTTCTTCAGATTTTGTTCATTTACAGACTTTTCTTGTTGGACTTGATGATAAGGGTTTGGCCTGCATGTGCAGTAGATGAATGGAATTCAACCCCTCTTTCTACTTCAGAAAATGCTCCGTTAGCACTCACGTTCTGAGTCGAGACTAACCCGTTATATGTATATATTTTTTTCTTTTTAGTTTAAAATGCTCAGTGGCCATTCTTGTCTTGTTGCCATAACCACTAAGACTACTAAATACCTCAAGAATATAATAAGAAGTCTCTTTCAGAAATGTGTAAATGTAACGACTGTTTAATTGCTGTTGGCTTGAGCTCCAGCTAAAGACATCTCAACGGTAAACAACTTTTGGTTTTTGCCTGGAGGTCCATAATGTGGGATGATAATTCTGCAAGTGCTGCTTGTCTTTGTCTGCGGTCTCTCGGTTGGTCCCAAAGACATTTAGGGAGTGCCAGAGTTACATCAGTGACTAAACATGGCTTTCCCGAGGTTTTGAAACTGGGCACACAAGACATCTTTACTTTCACTTTGTGAGAGGATTAAAAACTCCTAAATGATGGGAGCTGAGCTGAAGAGCAAGTAAGAGAAGGGTGATGATGGGACTAGACGGGTATCTGAGACACGCAGGCAAAAGAGGAGACTCCTGCAAGAATCATCTGGCATGATGTTGGTTGTTATAGATTACTAACAGTAGCCGAGCTGTAGATTACAACTTTAATCTCAGGCCCTGTCAGAGCCAGCCTGACTCTATACTCCGCTGCTTATTATACCCACTTACAATCAAATCACTGTCCAGCTCTCAGCCCGAAATACAGACGCCGGTGGTGCCTGTGGTGGTGATCGTGCAAAAGAGATTTTACTTGGCGGAATTTCCCTAACTTCCTAAGGCCTGAATCGAGAAATGAATCTTCTATTTATTTGGTATGGTTTGCATATCGGCCTCTAAATGGTATGGTGTTAAAAAAATTTACTGCTTTTCTGAAAAGATAGTAATTTGTTGCAGTGTGCTAGCCTGGTAATTAAAGGTGATATTTTGCTGCTGACACATGAAAGTACGAGTTTGTTGCAACGTTGTGGTTTTTTTAATATGATTTGTTTACCCCACAGGGCTGCTTGCCACTGGTTTTAATGTTTGACATCAAGGAGGATGTTGAGGTGGAGCCGCAGTGTATCACAGCCCTGATGGAGCAGCTGGATGTCTTCATCAGTATCAAACCAAAGCCGAAGCAGCCAAGCAAGGTACGACGTCCGGCTTACTTCGAGAAAACAAAGGCTGCAGAGGGTTTTCAACCCAATTAGTAACATTTATCAAGCATTGTGATAGAGGGTGATGCAACAGACCTGCTTCAGGTTTATTTGTTTTCCAAAAATGTGTTTTAAATTGTACAAAAAATTACATTAATAAATGCCACTTTTGATTAGGAGTTGAACGACTACATATATTTTTAAAGTCGACATTAACATGATAATAGTCGAGTCAATGTGGACAAGTTGATGACGTCATCGGAACTAAAGACACACACAAAAAAAAAAAAAGTAAATTTGTATTTACACAAAAAGAACAACAAAACATCGGGAGCATATATTTATGCTCCTACCATTTATCTTGCTGTAAATATGTAACCGGAAAACCAAAACTATTATTAAGCTGCAAAAGGTAGTTTAAAAAAAAAAAAAAAATTTATCCACTATATAAAATAAACCACCGTGGCAGTGGTGGATTCTCCACCGTTGGTGGTGCGCGGTGCACACTGGGTGTGATGCGCACCCCTGTTTTTATTTTATTTAGTGAATTTAAATAAAATAAAAATAAAAACTATCCACCGGTGGTGTGTACAGCAACTAATACACACATGGTGGGGTGTGCGGTGGTGGATTCGATAGTGGAGCACACCCCTGTTTTTATTTTTATTTTATTTAGTGGATTAAATAAAATGAAATTAAAAACATCTTCATCTTTAGTGAAATACTTCCACACTGTTGATGAATTTCTACCTGTTTGGGAAGACTTTGCCTGCTCCTCGCCTTCCATCTGCCTGGAAGAATCCGTTTCGTAGCCAGCGGCACAGCTGATGGACGTGAAATTAAAAACCTCGTGAGATGTCCTAGAATCGACTAGTCTATTCAACCCCTACTTGTGAGTAATATATACATTATAATTAAGGCTTTTTTTAATTGAGAATTTTGTTAGTGTTTCAACTAAATACTCTTAAAAATGCATATTTACTATTTTTAAAAGAGCACAAACCGTGTATGAAGAATGCAGAAAAATCTGAAATGTTTGACATCAATGCTACAGTGTCGTGGATTGAACTCTGATGCATTCATTATGCTTCTTTCTTTAGATTCAGATTTACTAAACCAATTCCACGTACTCTAATGCAGCATGTGAAAACTAAAGTAGCTTCAGATTTTTTTTAAGCCTTACAAATGTTTGCCAAGTCCCTCTCGTACTTCTAAATAAGTCAAAACATTATCGCTTGCCTTTCGTCTTTCAGCAATGGGCAATAAATAAAATCAAAGATTTATACAAGTGAGCAGAAACATACTGTATACGTGGAGTAGAATCATTTATAACGCGTCATGGACAAGCGTAATGAAATTAATTTGGTTTCGCTGAACCCAAACCTCATTAAAGGTTAATGTTTAGAACATGTGCTGACTTTTCTCCCTGGAGAAAAACACAGCTGCGCTGTTATTTGTCTAAACGTAGAGTCGGGCAGAGAAACAAAAAAATCCACTGGTGCACTTCTAAATGACTTCCCATCACATGTCAGCGTGGCATCAACACAAATTAAATATTACTGTTTAGTAGAGCTGAACAAGGGGAAAGCTGGACTCCAGTACCAATACTGGGAAGAGTTCTGGTAATCGGTCTCTGCTGCCGTACATGTTTCAAATGATTGATAGGAACATTCTTCCTCTTTTGCCTCATATTTTCCAACAACAACAAAAAAAAGAACTTGATTCTTGGGGTTATTAAAAAACTTACAATGTTCCTTCAGTAAATATCGGTTGTATTAATGCCACGAATTGAAATATTTTGCAATACGTTTTTAATAAAGTCACCTTTACTCTTTAAAATAACTGAAATTTGCATTATAATCAAAGCATACTTCTTGTGTTACTCACAGTCTGCCACTCAACAGCGGTTAATAAAGCAAATCGCATTTCAGCACTTAGCGGAGTGCTGCCGTGTCTCTTTGAGGTGCCCACAACCAAACCCAGAGCCTGGGCCCGATGCCCAAACCAGACGGATCCGCAGTGACTGCTGCAGAGGTGCCAGTGTAAACACTGACCCACCCCAGCTCCACTTGAGAACCCTTCACTTAAACATTTTAATGAAGTGACAGCATTCCCCCAAAAGGCCCATCCAAGTGTGTGCTGTAGCCTCTGTGCTCCTGGCCCTTTGGCAGACTTATAAAAGACTGGGCTGTTTAGGTTTGTGTCTGAAATTCATTTTTCAAAAGCTTTAAAATGGTCAAAGTCAGGAAATGATTTGTGTTGGAATTCCTTTTTAATTTGATATTGACAGAACTTGCAAGAGCAAAACATAAAAGCTGTTACTTTTATTGAATAACAGTCTGATTTATTAATTGATTCTTGCACCTCGTAGTGTATTTGTTCATATTTTATTTTTCCATCATACCAGAAAGTGAGATATGATTAATCTTTTTAGCAACTGATGAAGAAATGTTTTCTCTTGAACATTGCGTCCATGTCTCTCCCACACTGCTAGAATGTTTATTCTTCTAATCTATCCCTAATTCTCTTTTCCTTCCTCCCATTTCTTTGTCTCCTCTTCAGTTTTACTCCCTATCTCTGGTGCCAACATTCCCTCACTCCTCACCATGTCTTCCTCGTTTCGTTCTTTCTTATGCCACCCTTTACCCATCATCTTCTTTGCTCTTTTCACTCCTTACATGTTCCTGTTCTATAAATGTCCACATTATTATTTTTTTAGTATTGGTTTTTCATTCATTGTCTCCCAGTCGGTGATAGTGAAGAGCGTGGAGAGGAATGCCGTCAACATGTACGAAGCTCGAAAATTCCTCCTGGGTCTCGAGAGCAATGGAGTGCCTTCTTCCTCACCCTCTGTGGTCCTCAGTCCCCCCACTAATGGTCTGTCCCACTCCCTTATTTGCCCTGTTGGCCTGGACATCCTGGCCTCAGCTGGCCTGGGGCTGAGCAATCTGGGTAATCACACTGTCTTAAATCTTGTTTTGTTTTCTTTTATAAAAAGTTCCTTCTTCTGGTGTTTCAAAATTTTTTCCATGAAAAGGCAACAACATAAATCAGTGTAAAAAGATAAGATGCTGTTCTTTTACTTGCTGTTCAAAGTGCATGTTTAATGTCTTTGGCAGTAGAATTAACATCGTATGATATCCCAGAAGTCCCCAAAAGCATGATAATACCTAGTTAGTATGTCTCTTCTAGTGATTTTTACAGACACACATGACCTTAAGATCTGCCTACCTCAAACCCATTGAGCCATACGTTGTGTGGAGTTTCATGTAAAAGGTGTTTACAGATCTAAACTCATGACAGAATCTCTGAGGCATCTCTGATCAGCCAACCATCAAATGATAACCTCAACCCAGATGTGGTCGCACCACTACAAATGAATCTTGAAATTATGAGCAGCTCTCGATGTGGAGAGACGTTAATGCAGCACTGATTTCACAAAGTTTATCTCAAGTCATGGAGTTTTGATTTCCCGAATGAGTTAGTCAGTACAACTTAAAGATCATACTTATTAGGCTCCTCTTATTTCCTTTTTTTTTTTGTTTTTTTGCTGATGCGTGTTAATATTTTACAAATTTAGACAAAAAATGTTTGATTCATTAAGGCAATGGGAAAATGTGTAGACTTGCCATCAGGAAGTTGAACGTGGCTATAAACGTGCTGCAAGTGATACACCGTTTACTGCTACTAACTACTAATCAAAATTCACTGATACATTGCTTATAAATTCCTGATTGATTTCAAAAGGGTATAATCTTTTTATTGATTTAATTTGCATTTAAGATGGGTTTAATGGGCAAGTAGAATGGTTGAGTAGCAGCAAGATCTTGGTGTTAATTTATTAAATCTTAAAAGTTTTTTGATGCTCCTGAATGTTAATTTAACCTTTAAATATTCTATATGTTGTGCTTGTTTCACCCAGAATGTGTAAATTGGTTGCAAACCATCCCAGTACAGTAGAATCATTTACTCTCTGTCAGATTTAAACCCAGGGGCCCAGGGGTGAAGCTGTGGATGGCCACATCCTGGCCCTTAGTAATTGCTACATGCCTCTCTTCTTCAGATTGCAGAGCAGTCTGCCAGACGAACTCTGGGCTTTATTCCTGGAGCCAAACTAGCCCCTTGTTAAAGCCACAGACCTGTTTCTTTCTGTTTTCCTACACTGTGTTTGGGTTAAGACACTGAGCACCATATCGTTGGCGCTTTCAGCAACATGGTTTTATTGGGTACAAGGATACACGAGACGTATACTTTTGTATCCGCGACCTTGTCGAAATGTATGAAATTCTTCCTCTCATTTGTCGTCTGGTTGATGGAAGTTTAAAGGAATTCCAGTAAAATAGCTGGACAACCAAGATTGTTTTCCGAGGGCCTCATTGTAACGTGTGATTAGTTTTGGGAAAAAACGGCTTTGTGCATTGACTGGACCACCACTGATCTGTCCCCCCACCATCGCTGTTCTGTGCAGGTTTCCTGGGTGCGACGGCACCTCACTCCCTTCCAAACTCTTCTGCCCCAAATGCTCTGCTAAACAGCTTGAACTCAACTCTGAGCCCTTTGCCAACACCGAGCCCCAGCACCCCTGCACCGCCCCCCTCCCTCTGGCCGAGCTCGCTTACCAACACCCAAAGTTTGTATACTTTTCCTGTTTGTTCTTTCAGCGCATCATTTATTGCATTTTCATTCATTTGAGCAGAAGAATTAATTTTAGACAAACAAATTTAAATGATGAATCAGTCAAGTTTTGATTTTGTTGTAGGCTTTTCATCTCAGCTGATGCTGCATACTGCTGCTCAGGCCACTTTGAGCAGCATCCTGCGGTCAGGCGTGCAGGGCTACGCACACAGCACACCGTCTCCCCCACCCGGTCTTGCTCCTATCGACAAGCAGCCAAACAGCATCCCCGAGTGCACTCGAAACGGACACGTCAAGGTCGGCCTTGTTTTCTTTTTTTATGCAGCATTACTAGAGGTTCATTTTGAACTTTTGTTGAGTAAATAACATTTAAATTTTGTTCGCTTTCTGGACATCCAGCATCCCGGCTATGCGAGGTTAGCAACAACGGCGCTTGCGGAAACCGTTTTGAGTCCAGCGCCATGTGACTCGGCTCAAGAGGCCAGCGGACACAATCCATCAGAACCGCTGTCTAGCAAATCTAACCCAGATGAAGGTACTCCTCATATAATAATCCTGGCCTAAGCAGCACACAAAATGTTCATATAATAAACATGTACATGGATTAGAGTTCTCCATTGCAGCAAAGAATTTCTGTCATTTTGAACGTGGCCAGGACGGATTTCCTTCATCTGTAAAAATGAGGAGGGGGAAGAACAAGTGTTTTTGTTGTATTCTTGTTAAAGTCATCCAATCTAATGATGATGCAGGAATTAAACTGACGCTACTTTCAACTAGAGGCAGACCGATATGAAAATTTTGGCTATCGCTGATACTGATATTAGGAGGGGTAATGCCGTTAACTGATATACTGGCTGAATATTTTTAAGCTTTGTCCACCCCCAAAAATCTAAGCACCTACTTTTAAAGCTGTTTTAACATTTCAAGTCTTGAAACAGTCTTCCTAATGTGCATTCACATTTACTATCCTCCACTATTCACCATAAACGTATCAAGTGGGTTACAAAAATATAAATTAAACAAAGAAATGCCCTTCCCTGTTCATTCTTTAAGCAGTCAGACACATATGGCAAAAGCTTAATTAGTACTGACTACACCAGCATTTTTTGTCTTTGTAGAGAAGTAAAGATTTCAGACAAACAATACATTTCATTGAGGATGACAAAGATGACGTTTTACAAGGCAATTACCTATGCTAGGTTATCTAAATATTAGCTTGACAACTTGAGAGGCATGTAGCTAATGACAAGCGGGTTGGAGGATTGAAGAGAATTTATTATTGTTGATGTATTTTACAGATCAGTTACAGTTAACTTGCCATGCTCTGTTCAGCAAAATACGCTACACAGTATTTAGTGTTCCCCGCTTCTGCTGTGCTGAAAGTGAAAGTTAAAGTCCATGGCCATAACTTGAACGTAGTCCGCATGCGCCCTCTGCTGTATGCATTGTACAATTATGCCTTGTGCAAGTAAGGACACGGCATTCCCAGCATTTTAGGGGTGAAAATTAGAAGCGTTTATATTGGTGCATAATGGGACAATTATCACAGATACTGATATGTCCCCAAATGCCTATATCTGCATAAAATATTGGGCCTACCGATATATTGGTCGAGCTCCAGAGTCATAGTTTGACCCAATCAGAACAGAACAGGGCGAGTCCTGCTGTCTGGTTCACGGTGAGCCCTGGTGTGAGTAGCAGAGAGAAACTACAGGTGAAAGCTCATCTGCAGCAAGCCAAGGAGGACACCCCGCTACCCTAACAGAACCGCCCACCCCTTATGAAGGTGATGACATGTAATGAATTATTAAATGTCTTGTATTAAACAGTGTTCACACTTGACCAGTTTACTGCAGCCGGGGAGATACCAGAACTGATCCACCATCATCCCCACCCCCGCCTCCCTCACTGCGCCCCGACCTCCTCGGGACTTTTATATCTAAAATCTAACTTTGTATTAAATGTTAATGTGTTCAGAACATTGTTGCCATTGTACAGACATGTGCAACCTGCACATTTGACCAAACTCTGGGTCCAAGAGAGAAACCTACAGAGACGTGCACCGCTACGGGAGCGCGCAGCCTGTTGAGTTTCTCTCATGGTGAGAGAGGCTGTTTCTGCTGCTTTAGTATTTCTAAAAATTATTAAGGCTAAAAGATGAATATTTATATGCCCCAGATTACAGCAGAGAAGTGTGTCTCTGTTTAACTTTAATTTCCCCCCTACACTCACAAAGCTCTCTCTGAGAGTCAGTTTTTGGGTAACCTCTAGGTGTAGAAAATTTTCAGACAAAATATTTTTTTTCTGCTTTAATCCATGCAAGGAAATGGATAATAAGGAATGCATTTTTTAATTTTTTTTTAATCCTGGATTTCAATTAATACTTCTCTGATCAAGGCCCTTGTCAGGATGCACAATGTCTGCAGTGTTGGCCAAAAATCTCATGAACCAGTGGACAGATTTTAATGAAACACTTAAAGCACAATCACTTTACGTACATCTACAACTGATTAGCGTTTGGAGTTCATTGTGGTTACCACAGCTGAGTGACCTAAGGCAACAACAAAAAAGGCCATAACTGTTAATCTTACATATTTTGAGATACATTTGTGGTAGTAGCTGAGAGTCCCTCTAAACACATTCTCCGAGCGCAAGATGTGTTATGTATTGTCATCATTGTATGTTCTCATACAATGGCGAAATTGGCTCTCTGCATTTAACCCATCCATGTGGTGCAGTGGGCAGCTATTGAGGGCGCCCAGGGAGCAGTTGGGGATAGGGTGCGATGATCAAAGACGCCACAAGATGTGCAATGACTGGGGATCGAGCCTGGGACTTTCGGGTCCCGAGTCGGCTGCCCTGCCTGTACCCCATCTCAGCCCCCTCTCACAATATAGAGATTGTGCATAACATTACATTCACAAGGTTTGAGCAAAATGACTAAAACTCCAACTTATCATAGGATAAGAAGATCTTAGGTTAAAGCTGGCATGAAAGCAGGAGGTTTAAGTTTCCTCAATGAATGCTAGGCCTATAATTCTGGATTATTATTTTTTTCCAATAAATAAACATAGCAGTTTTTGTCATTTCTTCAATTGGCTTCACTGTCTTTAAATTTGCCTGAATCTGAATAATTTATAAACTTACAGAACTCATCTATTTAGTGGTTTTTGTTTTGTTTTTAACATGCACCTACATTTATGGATATTCTATATGTTCAACTATTTTCCTTTCATTCGTATTATTAGTAACTTTGTCCACTTCCTCTTCTTTCCCCCATTTGTGTTAAACAGTCTTGTGATTTATGGGTTATTCTAACCTTGGACGGACTCAAATATTTAGTTGTTAATGTTTTCAACTCTGGTGTGCCGGAGCTGAGCCTTGACTTGAACATAAATGTCTAAATCAAGATTTTCTGCTTCAGATTTATGTTGCTCTGAAAGCCACACTGAGAAAAATGCGTAGAGTTAACGTCTTTCTGTTTCCCTTTACTGTCCACCTAACCTCACACTCCTGACTGGGTTTATTGGAACGGAGACAGATTAACTGCTGGTCTCCTTGCAGTTCAGAAAGGCCTTCATTTCCTCTGTGTCTTACATTTGTGTATTTTTTCCACTCAAACCTTCACTCTCACGCGTCTCGTTTTCCTCGCTGTTTTCTAAGCTGTTTCTCCCCCAGCCTCGGTTTGTCCTGGTAAGTTTTCCTCCTGCGCCCCACTCCTCCCTCACCTCCTCCTGTGTCCCAAAATGTATTTAGGCTGGCTTGCTCAGTGCAGCTCTCACCTCCTGCGCTGTGGGTTGTGTGACCTTAGAGGAAAGGTTCAAACACAAAACCCCCAGAGAGTGACTGACATCATATTATTTTATGTTTTACAGTTCATATATATTCATATATTCTTGATTATCTGCATGGGCTTACTCATAGACCTGCACTTCCTGTTAAACAGAGCAGGTTCTCGTGGGTCAGCAGGTTGAAAAGCAGGTGAAAACCGTTTTAATCAAACTTGCCGTTTTAATTAAACCAAGATCCTAATGAGACTGGTCCCATTTTAATTCACACATGCTGTACATACAGTTGGTAACCCAGCTACACCAACTCATTTATACTGACCCAGTAAGCTATATGAAGGAAGATGGGACAAGAATTATTCCAGCTATTGTAGTTGAATTGTGTTTTTTCTGCACATTAAATGTGGCATCATTTGGGCGTTTCTTTCCTTTAGGCTCCGATACGTTTGTCGAAGTGGGCATGCCGAGAAGCCCCTCTCACTCAGCCAATGGCAATGAGCTGAAACAGATGCTGGCTTCATGTAAGACATCGTCAGGAAAACGGCAGGCTGTGGAGCTCCTGCAGGGCACGAAGAACTCCCATCTACAGTATGTTTCAATGTAAACCAAATTATTCACACTTTTCAAATGTTTAACAACTTTTCAAGTTTTTTCTCTGGGAGAAATGTCATCTGTGGTGAGAACAAACAGATTATAGGTTTTAAAAGCCAAAAGTGACAGGTCTGTGTTTAATTCACTAACCATGGATAACATTTCACTAGCGCAGTCAACTGTCTCTTAATGACAATACCTGTTTGATTTTATTGCTCAGGGTATTCTTTCTTTGTTGTTACAACAGTTCTGACTGCCTCTTGTCGGATGCTGAGTCCAGCTCGTCAGACAGTCCCGTTGCAGATAAGAGAGCGCCGGGCAGCGAGCGGGCAGCCGAACGAGCAGCTCAGCAAAACGAGAGGGAGAGAATCAGACTGGTGCCCCAGACTTCCTTTGCTAACATGCAGGTAAACACTCAAAAATAAAAAAACACACTCCAAAAACATATATTTTTTGGCAATACTGAAAGAATTACAGGAATTAAACTGTCTGCTGCATTTGTAGGCGTTTGACTACGAGCAGAAAAAGCTGTTGGCGACCAAAGGTGAGTCAACTCACACTCATGAGCAATGTGTAAGAAGAGGGAGTGAATTATTATTTTTAATGAAGTTCAAAAATGTTAAACTGTTTAGAGTGTTATTCAGCCATATTTCTGTGCTCATCGTCCCACAGCGATGTTAAAGAAGCCTGTGGTGACGGAGGTGAGAACCCCTACCAATACGTGGAGTGGTCTGGGCTTTTCAAAGTCCATGCCTGCCGAGACGATCAAGGAGCTCCGGAGAGCCAATCACGTCTTGTACAAACCCAGCATGACCACCACATATGAGGTCAGACATACAAATCCAAGAGAACCTTTTTCATTGTCTGGTAAACTAGTTAAGCTTCTGAATTCCATTATGTCTTAATTGTGCAATGTTTTTTTTTTAATCTATATCAAAAGAACATAGCTTTTTCTCATTGCAGATGTATGTTCAGTATTTTTTTTTTCATTTGGAATGATTCATTAAATGTTGTTTTTTTTTCTCCCCCCTTTATGATCTGTCTCAGGGCTCCCCGCTGTCCTTGTCTCGATCCGGCAGCCGGGAAGGTGTTGGGAGTGGCAGTGACTCTGACAACTGGAGGGAGAGAAACGGCCTGTCGAGCCACACCGAGTTCACCTCTGCTGTCAGCAGTCCGAAGAGGAAACAGAACAAATCCGGTCAGGAATGTTCAAGCAACATACATGTCATACTTTTTTTTGTTCGGTAACAATTAAAGGACTTGAGACAAAATAGTAAAAATGTTAGTTTCAGTTGTTCATATTTAATATGATATGACAATGAAACAAAAAAAAAACAAATTAACTCTGGATTTAATAAGTGAATTTGTTTATCACTGTTAATCAATTTTAAGATTTTTTTTTTTACCTGTTTTTTCCTTTTAATTCTGTCTTGTAGCAGCAGAGCATTACCTCAGCAGCAGCAATTACATGGACTCGATTTCTTCAGTGACAGGCAGCAATGGCTGCAACCTGAATTCATCCCTGAAAGGCTCCGATCTGCCCGAGCTCTTCAGCAAGCTGGGTTTGGGGAAGTACACAGATGTCTTCCAGCAACAAGAGGTAGCACAGCCCGCTACTTCCAATTGTGTAATTTATAGGGATGCACGATATTATCAGCATGGTATTGGAATCGGACGATATTAGCGATAAAGTTAAAAATCAGACATTGCCCATTCCATCAAAATAACTCACCGATATAAAAGGTGCTGTTTGTTTTTTTTATATATTGTATATTTATATAGCATTACATAATTTTCAGCCTCCTTTTTTGGCATTTGCATTTGGTATCAAGCCAAACTGACAAAGGCCATACAAGAATAATGTAGTATTTTAATTCCACAGCAGAGAAAGCTATGTAGTCTCTGTAAGTAGGTCTAGGGGAAAAAAAATCTGTATTGATATCGGTTATCAGCCAAATAAGTTTTAACATATCGGATATCAGCCAAATATCCAATATCGTGCATCTCTATATCTTTTTTTTTAACTTGTGGAGCTGTCATAAAATAGGGTACAGCTTATTTCCCAAATGAGTTGTATTTATTGTGTGTTGTTCCTGTCTCCAAATTAAAGCTTTAACTAAAGTCACAAACCTTCCTCTAACTTTGCAATAAACATATCCCAGTCTATGAATTGCTTTATTACTTTAGGTGCAACTTCATTACTTTTCCTGTGTCATACATATGAGATAAATGGGTATAAACATATCTACAGTGGCATGCAGAATCCTCTCACAGTCTGTGGAGCTGACTGAAAGATTCTGTAAGAAAACATTTTATGCATATAAAAAATAGTTTATTGTATGTCCAGCTAGGTCTGATGTTTAGGTTTTTTAAAACAGGCTCTCGGTAACGTCCTTTGAAACACAGCCTAAGGAAACGTCAGACACGTTAAACAGATATGCGAGGAGAAGTGCATCAAAATGGCACGTACATGGGGAAATGTTGCATGCATGACTCGGATCAGACTGTGACAGCCTTCACTGCACTCAACCGCAGCTAAACTTGTATGCTAAATTAGGATGCTGAACTTGGAAACAAATTATAGCTGTAATTTAGTGTTAGTATATACCAGCACGTTGACATGCTGATTTTAGCACTTGGTTCAAAGCGTCACTTTTATCACAGGGTCAGGAAAATACAGAATTTGAAATGATATATACATAAAACGACTATGGTCTGCTTAGCCTGGCTACAGTTCTTCAATTCTTAAACATCCAGAGTGCAGCAAGTTGAATTCCTATGAGGTATTTCTGCTGTTTTAGGATACTCCAGAAGAAATGTGAGAAAGGGATTTTCCACATTTTGCTTTGTGTTTCTGCCTGCCTGTTAAGCATGATTGTGTTAAAGGAGGCACTGGAGGATTTGAAGGATCTACAGTCCAATTTCCACATCATCACATTTTGTACAAAGCCTGTTTATGAAATAATAGGGTTAGTTATGACTGACTTGTTTCAAAATATTGAGGGTTTGGTGCTGTTAAATGCAAATGTTGCTAATTTCAGATTGACCTCCAGACATTCCTGACTCTAACGGACCAGGACCTGAAGGAACTGGGAATCACCACTTTCGGTGCCCGTAGGAAAATGCTGCTTGCCATTTCAGGTATGATTGCAATTGTTGTATTTTATATAACCCATTTTTTTCTGTGCTGTTAGCTAATAAAGTTAAAACTAAAATCCCCTGGGAGCAAGGTTTTTCCTTTCATGAGCCAATTGTCACCAGTACCAGCTAAAGTTTAATGCTCCAGCTCAGCTTAATGAATGCTGAACACACAAACTGTTCTTATTTTGTTTATCACCACAACAAGCGTGATCAGAGTCCAGCTGTGCATAAGACATAATCCAGTCAATAGACATCTGCTCCACTGTTAACCACTGAATGTTTGAGCTAATTGGTAATGAGACTAGGAGCTGAATTTAGCAACAAAAAAAATGGAATTAACTGATAAAGCTAATATTAGCATAAAAACACCTAAACAAATGGCTGAAATAGCAGAAAAAGCTCAAACTAACAGAAAAAAGCTGAAATTAACATAAAGAGGTTAATTAGGCTGAAAGAAGCAGAAATGACCATGAAAAACTTGAATTTATCTGAAAACATCTGAAATTAACTAAAAGATGCTAAAAAGCTGAGCTGAAAAGGTAAAACAAGCTTAAATTAGCAGAAGGAAGTGGAGAGAGCACATTTTTGCTGAATTGGGCTGAAAAAAGTTGAAATGAGTGCAAAAAAAATTGCTGAAAAATTAGCTGAAAAGGCTAAATTTAGCATCAAAACTGCTAAAATAGTTGCTGAAATGGCATACAAAGCTGAAACTGACAGAAATAAGCTGAATTGAGCAGAAATAAGTTAGAAGAAGCACAAAACATATTGTAGTTAGCAGAAAGAACCTGACAGGAGCACAAAACACCTGGAAAAAACAGCTGAAAATACCTGAAAGTAGCTGAAAAATGCTTAAATTTGCACAAAGAAGCTGAACCAGAACAAAATGTGAAAGGAGCAGTAAAAGGTTGTAAACAGATCTAAAGATTTGAAGGATGTAAAATGAGCTCAATTCATTTTCTATGAGGAAAAAAAATGGCAAAAAAAAAAAAAGGTTAAATATTTCATAAAGCTAAAGTTGCACCAATACCAAAAGTCATAGCAGGATTGTCCTAAAAGACCTGAACGTTTTAATATGATTTGTTGAAATAGCACAAAAATTGTGGAACGAGAACGATGCCAAAAAACTTATGGAGGATAAATGACTCACAACACTTCGTAAACATTGACACAATAAAAACTGCAGCATTGTATCTAAGTTTCTTTAAAGGAAAACATGTAGCAGTTATTTGTATAAGTGGCAGTGAAAGGGATTTGGGCAAAATTCTTCTCAGATGACTGTTGTTGCTTCACCAGCTGCTGCAGCTGCCTCCCTGACGCTGATTTGAACTCACTTGATCTGATGTGGATGCGGTGGGTGTCACACTTCATTACTGACATCATATTTTGGAGATTGTAAAAGCTGTATAGCTGTATGGGGAGCAGGCACTTCCTGTTGTAAGTTTTCTGTAGAAGGTTTGAGCCAGTGAGAGGGAAACATCAAGGCCAGAGCTCTGATTATTAAGGATGTAGTTTCCAAAGCCAGAATTGGTTTTGCTGCCTGTCGCCAAGCACGGGTCAACTTTCATCTCCGCTGACCGGCCTTCTGAACAGAAATATGCACGTTTCTGTCTGTCTTACCCTTTTCTGTGTGTTTGTGCTTCTTATAAAGAGTTTAAACTTTCTATCCGTCTGCCAGTAAAAAGAGCTGCTGCAGCAAGTCGCTTGTCTCCGGGATCCAAAGTGAAGGTTTATGCTGGCAGTGGCAGAACACTGCTCTCATGAATACGTTGGAAATGCCGGTCTGCCCGAGTGATATTCTTATGAAAGTATTTGAACAAACTGCTGGATGAAAGTAGATGGCCACAAAGAGGGGGCTTTTGTTGATCGGAGCAATTTTGCGGCGATTTGAATCTAATTTTCTTGTCATTGTTGATCCATTGAGGCTAAAGAAAAATGTCAACAGACTTCTCCGTTTGTGTTTATTTGTTCGCTTTGATTTGCTGTGATTTACAGCAACACGAGAAGGGATTGGCCACTTTAAAAAAAAAAAAGTATGCATTCATTACCTTTGCTTTTGCTGATGTCTTTTTTTTTTTGTTGTTGTTGTATTTTTGCAGAACTAAACAAGAATCGAAGGAAGTTATTCGAGCCACCCATCAGGTCCTCCTTCCTGGAGGGGGGAGCAAGCGGACGACTCTCCCGGCAGTTCCACGCTGACGTGGCCAGTGTCAGCGGGCGGTGGTAGTCCTTAAAACCCGTCCAAGAAGTCCAACCTCCTTTGGCTTTGGTGCCCAAGTTTCAGCAGTTGTTTACCGCCTTTTTTTTTTTTTTTTTTTTTTTTTAGCTTTGGCTGAATCAAGACTGTTGCATTCTTTGTTTTTATAAATATAAAGCCATAGTTTTACCTGAAGTGCCAACTTAAAAAAAAGGGATTTCTCAGAGACGCAAGGTTCAGTGTTCACTCCTTATGAGTTTATTTGGAGCCTTTACATATGAAGGATACGTGTTATGCCTCTGAAGAAGGGTACTGTCCAGTATTTCTCTCCACTTTTTGTTTAAAGGAACAGGCAGAATGATCGTTTTACAGATTGATACTACCCGCATTGAATTATGCTATTGTATCAGTAACATGCACTTTATTACTAGATTTTGCCTGTAAGAGCCCGACTCCTATACTGAAGTAATAACTCTACCTTTTTTTTTTATTATTGACTAAAAGCACAGATGCATTTTGTACCAAAATTAAAGCAAGCACTTAGCCATTGAGATTAGGGTGCCACTAAACGAAGTGCAAAAAATAAAAGTAGTTCAGCACACCTAAAGTGGGGATTTGATGAGCTTTAATAATGATAAAAACCAAAGGGAGGTATTGTGCCTTTGACTTTTGGCTTCAGTGTGTCGATTGGTTGACGTTCCTTCAAGGTCAGTGTTTAGGAGCAGTTTGTGTATATCGAGAAAAAAAAACAAAAAAAATGTAAATGTACTCCTTATGATTTTATGTTTAGTTTTTATTACCATTTTATGTTAAGGAGTGGAATGTTTATTGGTAATCAGTTTACATATGTATTTTTATATGTTTATGAATGAGTTCCTATGATTTGTATTTTTTTTGTAATTAGTTTCTTAGCATCTTTTTTTTTTTTTTGTCCTTCAGTCTGTGGAGCCATGATGTGGCTGTGCCATAGCAGCAGCAGTCGAACTGTGAGGCAGTATAGCCTTATAGGCCTCTCTTGATTGTATCGTCAGTTTTCTCTAGTTGACTTCCTGTTTATAGTGTAATGTTTTGTCCCAACCGTGTTTGTCAGTAATGTCCATCCTGTGTCCACTCCGTGTGCCTTAAATCTCCCAATTCGCTCCTGCCTGTATCTGGAATGTGAGATGTTATGCCAAGAATTATGTGCGCGCCCCCGCCACCCAAAAACTTGATGTTCTATTTCGAGAAAGGCAAGATCTTTGTAGCATCATGTGCCAATACACGAGTTGTTTTTCAGCTGGGAGAAATTTTGTTAGACATATTTTGGTATGACATCTCGCTCATGCAGCACATAAAAACATATATATAATAAAATATATATATATATATATTTATGTACATATAATATATATGTGTATATATGTATATACTATTTATATATATATATATACTATATATACTGTATATATATACTATATATACTGTATATACTATATATACTGTATATATATACTATATATACTGTATATATATACTATATATACTGCATATATATATACTGTATATATGTATATATATATATATATAGTATATACTATATATATATACTATATACTATATATATATGTGTATATATATATGTATATATATATAGATAGATAGATATGTGTATACACACACATCTATATATATATATATATATATATATATATATATACACGTGTATACACTGACAAGCTGGTCTCATTTGAGAATTTCTGATGTACAAAATAAGGACAGTAAATCACTGAAGGGATTGAGACAAAAACAAAATAATCTGAAGTTTTCTATAATGGACCAAAAACCCTTGTTTAGCAGTGTTTGATACAAAGATTATATATGCAGAAGTGTTTTTTTTTTTTCTTTCCAGTAATATGTTCAGTCGTGTGTTTCGAACATCTGTTCCCAGTAGTTCATTAACTTTGATCACATTTTTCCCCCTTGAAAATATCTACAAGCAAAAGCAATCTTCTAATACTTTGAGTAATTCCAAGTGCAATTAAGTGAATCGTTGTAAAATTTATTTTGTTGTTTATATTTGTTGTACATCAAGTGCAAAAAGCAAAGACTGAAGCTTTGTATTAGTTAAGCTAAAAGAACGGTGTACAAAGTCCATAAAAGTGAGAGAATTTAGACGGAAAGTAGGATTTGTTCTTGCATCAGCTCAAACTGAAGTGAATTATTTGTCCACATGCTCAGTTTTATTCCTTTTTTAACTTAAATTTTTATTTTTAGAGGGGGGAGGGTGTAACTTTATTTTTTTTAGTTTGAGTCACTTTTCAACCATTCTTTGCATCTGATTCCAACCATTGTTATCGTGGTTGTTGAGTGAGTGACTCTGCTAAATAATATTCTGACACAGTTGCTGATGCAGACAAGTTTTTTTTTGTTTTTACCTTGAAGTCTTAAGACATGATGAAGAGCAAGTTTAAAGTGAGCATCTTTATTCTACACCTGGAGCCAGTTTTCCTGCACTCATTGTCGTACTACGTTCAAACTCTTGAGCACTGATCTCCTCAGTGCTGTGACTCGTGTTGCTGTCTAGCAGACATTTGTTTCTCTTCCTCCACGTTGTTTGGGTGTGCTTGCTCGCAGGACGGCCAAGGTTATTGATTATCACGTGAATGTTCAGAAAATTATGAATACTTGTTATTGCAGCTTGAACTCGGATCAGTGAAGGGATTCAACAAGTCTTTGCCCATATATGCAGAAGTTTCTCATATCTCCTTAATGTGTTGTATTAGTTGTTCAAAAATGAATGATTTGGAGGAATTTTGTTCTTCAGTCAAATGGTACATTCAAAGTACATGTAAACCACTACAAACATTGTGTATAGTGTATTATTTTTTTCTTCCTACACAATTATTATGTAAAAAAAAAAAAAAAAGGTACAATTCTGTTCCAGAAAAGAATTTGTAAAACATTGCCATGAGGCTAAAGTTCTGTTCACTGTGACATCTGTTGACGCTCTTGTTTTTCACACTGCATGGTAATACAGATAGATATAAACTTTTTGGATACAAAAAAAAATGTCCAGCAGGAAAAACTGTTTGTTCAAACATTGAAATATTTGGATGGAAATAAATGTATGCAAAATCATGAGTGGGCTTTGTTTTGTTTATGTACATAGATGAATGGGATGTTTGAGAAGACTGTAGGAATCATACATTTTAGGCTTCCCGAAGCTGCATGAGCAGCTCTCAGAAATTAAGAATGGGCTCCAAATTATACCGGAACTGCTACATTGCTAGGCTTGTCGCAATAAACAATAAATTAATCGCATGATAAGTGAAAATTATTGACCTTATTTTCATTTATCGGCTTTATTGTTTCTTCACGTCTCTCTCTTTCTATTGAAGACACTGGATGATAAATGGCTCAACTCCGGTGCTCTTCACTGACCCTCCCTTTCTCTTTTCTCTTTAAAACCTGTTTTAACGATCCAAAATGGCCGTCTTGTCGAAGCTCCAAAATTCACAGTTGAAACCCATGCCATCATGTAAAAAGTTTTATTTCTACAAAAAGAAGCTGAGAGCTTGTTTACGGTTTCTTTTTTTTATTTTATTAAAAGCTTTGTGTAAAAAAATGCTATGCTAAAGATCTCAAACCACACCCAGCGTCCACCATTTTGAGAACCGAATAAAGGGGAGAGACAGCCCATGTGTCGTGGTATCCCTCCCATTTTTCTTAAAGAGATGTTGCTCGCTCCCTCACTATCCATCCTTCGGTTCAAACAGTCTCATACTGCCAAAAAAAGGTACTACACGCAAAACAAGTTAACCAAAATTTCTTAAGTTTGACAATAATTACTAATTATTGTCAAATTTCAAACAATATTTTTGTTTATCGCAAAAATTCTGAGACAATTAATCGCCCAGCAAAATTTGTTATCGTGACAGGCCTAATTGCTCGTGTAAAGAGCTAATTGGTCCATTACACTCTGTTGTCACTTCACTATTTTGTCTCTCCGTCTCCACGTTCTACCGCTCCATAGTTGAGTTGTGGAAGCAACATGTCCAGGAGAGAAATCCAAACATCCCTCTCCCCAGTGACACACTCCAGCTCCACCTGGGGGACCCCAAGGCATTCCCAGGCCAGAGATCCACAATCCTTCCAACAAGTTCTGTTGTTCCCCGGGGCCGTTTTTTCTGTGCCCAGAAAACATCCAAAGAGAGGTGCCCAGGAGGCATCCTGATCAGATGGCCGAACCGCCTCAACCGACGCCTGACCACCCCGGAAAGGATGCCCATTTCGGCTGCTTGTATCCAGGATCCTGTTCTTTCGCTCGTGATCCAAACTTTATGACCACAGGTGAGGTTTGGAATGTAGCCATACTGATAAATCGAGTTTTGCTTTTCGATTCAACTTCACCACGACTGACTGAAGCAACGTGATCATTACTGAGGACGAGGCCCCGATGCCTGGAACCATTTCCCGCTTCATCCTACCATCCTTCTTGCACAAGACATCCAGATGTTAAAATCCATTCATCTGAGGCAAAGATGCCCCCCAACGCAGATGGGACATTCCACTCACTATTTTGTATTTGTTTTCATTTCAGCTATCTAATCAAAGCTTGAGAGAAAACCACATAACCATATGGCACAGAACAGAATCTGCTTCGTTCAAGAAAATGAATCTGTACTTGCAAAGACATGGCATTATGCCCCCCTTCAATTTTAGCACATATTTAGCTTGTTTGTCGGCCATTTTTCTAATCCTTTAGTAAAATATAATCGAATCAGCAGTTCATCTTTAATTGGAGAGGCAAAGTCAGTGTTGTGTTTTTCTTCCACTTTTTATGCCAAGTTAATGGATTTTTATTTTTCCTCTAGGCAGATTGGAATAAAATTCTTATTCACTTAATATTGACTTTAAAAATCACACTGCTATTCATTTTTCTGGTATTTTTTTTATTCTGTAAAGCAAATTTAAAAAAATACCTCAAGAGGGCAGTGTGGCCACTTCCATCAACAGAATGGAATCAGCAACAGAAAATCAAATGTTAGGGA